GAGAAACAGGACTGGACTGCTGGTGAGTGGTCCAAAGTCATGTTCTCTGATGAAAGTAAATTTTGCATTTCCTTTGGAAATCAAGGTCCCAGAGTCTGGAGGAAAAGAAGAGAGGCACTTCATCCACGTTGCTTGAAGTCCAGTGTAAAGTTTCCACAGTCAGTGATGGTTTGGGGTGCCATGTCATCTGCTGGTGTTGGTCCATTGTGTTTTCTGAGGTCCAGGGTCAACGCAGCCACATACCAGGAAGTTTTAGAGCACTTCATGCTTCCTGCAGCTGACCAACTTTTTGGAGATGCAGATTTCATTTTCCAACAGGACTTGGCACCTGCACACAGTGCCAAAGCTACCAGTACCTGGTTGAAGGACCATGGTATCCCTGTTCTTAATTGGCCAGCAAACTCTCCTGACCTTAACCCCATAGAAAATCTATGGGGTATTGTGAAGAAGAAGATGCAATACACCAGACCCAACAATTCAGAAGAGCTAAAAGCCACTATTAGAGCAACCTGGGCTATCATAACACCTGAGCAGTGCCACAGACTGATCGACTCCATGCCACGCCGCATTGCTGCAGTAATACAGGCCAAAGGAGGCCCAACTAAATACTGAGTGCTGTACATGCTAATACTTTTTATGTTCATACTTTTCAGTTGGCCAACATTTCTATAAATCCTTTGTTTTTATTGGTCTTCAGTAATATTCTAATTTTCTGATATGATGAATTTGAGATTTTCATTTGTTGTCATTTGTAATCATCAAAATTAAACAAAATAAACATCTGAAATATATGAGTTTGTATGTAATGTATGAATATAATATACAAGTTTCACTTTTTAAATGGAATTACTGAAATCAATCTACTTTTTCATGATATTCTAATTTTATGACCAGCACCTGTATTTATTTTTTTTCTCATCTCAGTCTGTGTGGTGTGAGTGGGGGCACTAGGAGGGAAGGCGTGACTGTGAGTTTTCCTTTTTCTTTTTTTTTCTCTCCCAGGTTGGGGTCTGAACTGCCCCCTCTCCCGAGCACATCTCAAGTCTCCGCCAAGGGCGAAGCCCATTTACCCCGTCCTGCTCTCCCTCCGCTGGATGACGCCTGGGCCCACCGGTGCACTCTTGGCGCTCGGGTCTGGGGGAGCATGCCCGGGTGGCTAGTGGCTTATTCCTGGCGGCTTCTCTGTGGCCTCGACCCGGCCGGGGCTCCTGCCGGGGGGTGGGGAGCCCCTGGGGCCTCGGATACCTGTGGCCCATGGCCAGACTCACTTCGGGGTGGCAGGCTGGCGGCAGAGCCCGCAGACTCACCCCCGTGGCTGGGGGACTTCCTTGGGGCTGTCTCTCCCCCTCCCTTGGTGGGGGTCGGATTTCCTGGGTTTCCCCCCCTTGGTGCCTTCACTGTTGGGATCCCTTTTTGCATCTGGGGCTTTGGGTCTCCTGGCGCTGGACTCAGTGATCTGGTGGGGGCGCCTCTTCGGCTCTTCACAACCACTATTGAGCTTTTTTCCTTTGGATAAACTTTACATGCACAAGTGCACTTTCACAAACAATTACAGGTGCTTGGTTCCAGGTACTCAGAGATTCACTTCCATACAGAAAGCGCATATTCTTATCTTCGGGTAACATGTACATGTCAGATTAAATAATACTACTTATACTTCAGCGATAGTATCTAGGTGTTACTTTATTGTATGTCTTGTAACATGTCCATTGGTTGTACTGTTCTTTTTACATCTCTTTGCTGGTGATGAAGCGGACTGAAGATGTTTTAGCATTATCTACCTTTTATCTTCTTTTTCTTTTATGTTTTCTCCTTTTTCTGTTTTTCCTTTCCTGTTCTACTGACATTGCAGTGTCCATATATTCTATAAAACTCCCTGTATAATTATAATAAAGCAATTTATATGCATAAATTAAGCAGAACACCATGGCAATAGCCGTACTGTTCCATTTGTGAAGGTAAAATCTGTTGGGCTCTTTTAGGCATCAAGACAATTATTCTTATTGCCACATTGCCAGACAGGACACTGTTAAAAAAAAGGAATACTTATTTCATTCACCTGCCTAGCTCCGCCCCTTTTTCTAATAAATTTTCATTTGTGTCTCCTTTTCCAGTCTTTATTTAACCTGCCTGCTTCCGGTCATCAATGCCAGATTATTCGAGCCTTTTGTCAGAGTTCTCTATCGTACCTGAATGTGTTCTGATTGCCTGATCCTGACCCATTCTGCTTTTGGATCTCTGAGGCTGCCTGTTCCTGTTCTGATCTGTTTGCCTGACCTGTCTTTGGACTCCTGCTGGATTATACCTGTCGACCGATCCTGGATCTGCTTCCTGACTCCAAACTGACTTTCCCTTTGGTTCCTCTTCAGATCTCTGATCTCCTGGCACAGACTTCTGTGAAACCTCTTCGACAGCAGCTTCGGCTTTGCCCTCTGGATTATCCTGCCTTTTGCTAAGCCGCGTTATCCCCCTTCAGAGGTTCCTGCCTTAGACATCCTTGCTTTTACTGCGGATCTGCCATTTTTAAAGAAATCTGTGTGTTTGCCTTGAATACTGGGTCCTCTATTCCTAGCCTTGACAAATTAGCCACTTCAATACGTTAGATGACATATTTCTCTATGCATAGAGTTTAAAGAGTTAATCAAATTAATAGTTTTTTTAATTAAGAATCTTTTTATAAACAAATTACATATGATTATTAAGATAATGATGCAAAATATACTGCAAGACAAAAAATGCAATAAAAACTATACAATTTCTAAACTCTGAGTTGCTATCAACTCATTTTTGAGCTGCTAGAAGCATCAACTGTTTCAAAACGTGATAATTTATGTTTAATAAACTGATGTTGTGTTTTTTATTTTATACATTTTGTTCCAGATTCAATGTTGAACTTTTGACCGTATATTCAGGCCAGAAAAAAAATCCCCCTGCAGCATGAAAGTGTGTTGGATTATCTTCAAGGCAAACATCAGAAGGACTCCAGTCTGATGCACTGGGAATATCCTCCCATCAACACTGTCTCCACCAGTTGTAGGCAGAGATATAAATCCCAGTGTGGGTGATTATCCGCTTCTGTGTTGCTCAAATCATTTATACAGGCATTGCTATGTTTAAAGGATTGTACTTGATTATCTCACAGTTTATTCAGATATTTGTTTCATGAATCTGAATACAGAAATTATATAATTGAAAGCCCTACTTTGTTTTTCAAGACAAGTTAAGTGAGACAATTCCTTAATAATCTAATTTGACACAGCGGCTTATAAAAAATTGTTTCAATCCAACAGTAAGTCAAGGGGATAATCCCCACAATAGTTTATAGGAGACTAAAACACAGTATGAGTTACTAGAAATTAAGATTTTTTTTCAGACATCACGCATTTCTTTTCTTTACGTCTTTTTTCCTTTTACCCATTTATATGGATCACATCCAAAATAAAATATTAAATAGTGACGATAATAATAAGAAGAAGATGAAGAAGAGGTAGAATGTGGTATTCAATCGGTAGCCAGCAGGACATTTAAACAGCTTCTACTGGGGGGTTGAAAAGCAGCTGTTCACTTGCAATATCTTACTCTGACCCAAAAACTCCCAATGCAACAACAACCTTCTTCTCCTCAGACCTCAGACTAATGAAATTGGCAGAATCCCTTTCACCCCTGAGGAGAGAGAAACATTTAACCTACAGTTAACACTTTTATTGTTGTCCGTTTAGTCATTATGGTTATCATGCCCAGTTCACCAGTAAGACCATTTTATAAGATCATCTGGAAAACTGCTTTGGTCTTTCTGGTATAGGACTTGACTGGATTGAATCTTTCATGAATGAAATAGATTATTTGTGTATTTAGGTAACCTAAATAATGAAATAAAATTCAATAAAAAAAAATTTTTTAAATCATATGCAAGATTCGCCAAGGGTCCATCTTTTGGCTGTTTCTCAATATGTGTCCTTGTGCGTTCTCATGTGCTCGTGAAATGTCATCAGCCTCAGCACTAGTACTGTTCCAATTCACAAAAACAAGAAGACCGAGAAAGGACAAAGTCCCTGGATGTTGTTCTTGCCCCTCCCTCTTTACCCAGCATGTATCCGTGCAGATTTGTCTATTCTTCAGATTGACAGCTGTCCCAGCATGCACGGCAGCAGCTTTCACAGAGCTCAGAGTATTAAGTTAAAGATCTCTTTTCTGTTGCCGTTGTTAATGATAATAAGATAAATGCACCTCTGCATGTAACAACCCTCTTGGAGCTCTGGGATGCGATTGTGCGGTGCCTGGGGAGCAATCGTCTTTCTCAGGAACCCAGATTGGAGGCTGTAGAGATTGAAAAGAGACTTGCAACCTTCTAAGTGCACAAGCGCACTGATTTTAATGATTGAACTTCACCAAAAACCTTTCAATCCACTATCTATGTAAACAGGCTGTGCAAACCCTCCAAAAAAGCAGCTCTGAAGGATTCCTTTACTGAGCCAAAACTCCCCAAATGCTAACTAGGCAGCAGTGGGATTTGAACTCATGCCATCAACATGACTGGAGCCTAAATGCAGCACCTTAAAACACTCGCCCATGCAACCCTCCTACAAATTAATAAGTGTCTTAATATGTTATTTTTGCACTTCATTCGATGGCCCATTTACTGATTTGGTGTGTGATTTTAAAAAAAAAGTTCAGATGTTCAAAGGAATGCAGCACCACCTGTCTCTCATCTGCTCATCAGGAGATCAGTATTTAAGGAGGCGGAGGGCTTCTCTCCAGTGCCAGAGTGTTTGCCAGTAACGGTTAGCAAGCCTGAGCCAACCAGCCTGTCTCAAACTCTGACTCCTTGAGAACCGAACCTGACCTGTTTTCTCCTCTCTGCTTCATAGATTGAACCTGCCTGAAACCTGAAACCCAGAAGAGTTTCTCTGTCGGTGATCTGCCTGTCAGTTCTCAGAAGAACTCTGGAGAACAGTTCCTGTCAAAGATCTGCCTGCCCGCTCTCAGAAGCCCTCAAGCCTGCCGACAGCCTCTGGACCCTCAAGGTTCCCTCCCTCAGCAGCTCTGCTCCACTCCAGAACAGGTACAGCCCTGCACACTCTCTTTCATGCAAAATACATGGACCTCCACTAACTCCTCTGTCCTCCTCTGCAGTGAACCCACTCGTGACCAGTCCAGTCCCTTCCTGGATCTGTTAAATCTGTGTACCTTTTCAGAACCCACTCGTGACCAGACGAGTTCCCCACAGGACCTGATCATAAAACCTGTACATTCATCATTTAATAAACCTTTGAACTTTTCTCCTGCCTCTGAGTGTTCTGCATGTGGGTTAGACATGTTAACCAAAAATGACACTCTCTCGGGATAACCGTATGTGAAGTACCACTGGCTTCTAGGGTAGTGCTGGCCTAGTGGTTAGAGCAGTGCACTTGTGCTCTGAGAAGGTTACAAGCACCCAGTTTGATCCCCAAAGCCTGCACTCTGGGACCTTGAGCAAGACCCTTTACCCCACACTGCTCCCTGGGCACCGCACTATGGCAGCCCAATGCTCCCCAAAGGGGATGGGGTAAATGCAGGGAGCTCATTTAACCCTTGTGAGATCATTAAAAATGAATTTCTTAGCTCTGATGGTGTTTTTTTGGCAAACTGTTAATTTGATTTGTGTTTAACTGACTGTGAATTATTATTCCCCCACTAAATGAAAAAAGTAACAATTTACTAATATCTAGAGACTATTAAGAACGGAAGAGGAAATGCAGCTCCAGACAAGCCAAGCGTGTGGTGACGTCACAAGTACGCTTCCGTTTCAATATTTATCTGCATGCGGAGTCCAGACTTTCCTGTGTTCTGTACATACTTGGCGAGGACACAAGTCCGTACTCAAATTCTTGTGGATTGAGAAACAGCCATTATCTTTATGCTCTCCGAAGCTCAGATTATAACAATCAACAAAAACAGCTCTATGTATATCACAATGTCATCAGGTGGCCGATGGATGAGCAAACATGTTCTTTAGCTGGATGAAAACAAAATGTAAGTAACCATGGGCCTCATGCAAGAAGCATTCTTACAAACAAATTTGTTCTTAACGCGTTTTTACCGGTGTATTAGAAGAAAATGTTGCATTCACCCTTTTTCTACTTCTTCTAATCTTCTTTCATACAAACACATTTTACAAGTGTTTCAGACTTGACATTCCACATCAACTTAATAAAAAAAAAAACAATCCAATGGGCTTTGTTTCCAAGTTGTAAGACATTTTGCTTCTCATACAGGAAGCTTTTTCAATTGAAAATGCCAGAATTAGCGTTGAGTTCTAAGCTTCATATAGTAGCTCAAAAAACATGTCAATTAAACCATAAGAACGGGTCCGCCCCTCAGGAATGGGGAGGTGTTTGGGTTCTTTGAATCAATCTGACTGGATGATCTGGTGAACTGTAAAGTGCCTTGAGATGACATGTGTTGTCAATTGGTGCTATAGAAATAAACTGAATTTAATTGAACAACGGATATCTCCAGGATTGAAGAACTAATGTCTTAGCAGGACCTTGAAAACCAAATTCATCTAATTTATTTAACTGTTTAATGTCTGATTCTGCAGAGGTTGAAGCTACAACAAGTGGGTCTATAAAATCATGGGCCTAAGCTTGCTGACTGTTGCTAGAAACAGAATAGAGAGAGTCGCTCCTAGAAGCTCATACATTTCAGCATGGTGTTACATTCCCACCATGTCAGCATCTTTCTGCAGAGTCAATTGCTACATACCTACAAACATCATATTAGCTCAATAACAGTACATAGAGAGCTTCATTATATAGGTGTCCACTGGAGAACAGCTGCATCCAGGCAATGCATTGGGGTAAAGAGTGCCACCACTGGACTCTTGAGCAGAAGTGACATGTGTTCTGGAGAGATGAATGGAGCTTCTCCACCTGGCAATCTAATGGATTCTGGATTCGGCAGTTGCCATGGTAATACTTGCCTTACTGTATAGTTTTAAGGGACCCCTTTTTCATCATTCATCATCATCTCTATTCTCCCACTCTGCAGAATCTGTTAGTTCAATCTCTAACGTTCTGCTCTCTCTGCTTTTCCTCATAGTAGCTTCATCTGGTCTGTTCCTGTTTGGCTGTGACTCCATCCTGGAGAGAAATATCAGCTGTGCTGCTGCCATCAACACCTTTGTTTCTAGATGTTGGAGATTGGCCTGTTTTTCAGTGTAGTCCTGTTTCTCTGACTGTGACTAACTGGATGTGCTCTCTTCATCCTCTGACATGGGAGCTAGCTCAGAGCTTGTTTCCTTTTTTACAGTTTCCTTTTGTATCTATGCTTCTTTTTCTATGTCTGCTTCTGTCTCCATGAACCCCAGTCGGCCTCAGCAGATGGCCGCTCACACTGAGCCTGGTTCTGCTGGAGGTTTCTTCCTGTTAAAAGGGAGTTTTTCCTCTCCACTGTCGCTACAAGCATGCTTAGTGTGAGGGATTGCTGAAGAGTCAATGAGTCGATGCAATCAGCTGGTTTTCCTTAGATAGAAAACTTTGAATCAATCTGATTGGATGATCTGGTGAACTGTAAAGTGCCTTGAGATGACATCAGGGGCGTGCACACATAGACACTAGGTGGTGCTAAAGCACTAGGAAGTTTGCCCTCTATCAAAGAAAATGCCCTTTTGAAACTCGTTTTTTTATATTATTATTATTAATATTATTAAGATTTTACTGAGGTCGGTTTTGAAATGATCTTTTGAAAACCTGAGGCATTAAAAACGACTGAAACAATGCCCCGAAGTCACCGACCTCCTTGCGCACACCACCGACCAGCCTCTCTCTCTTCCTTTGTCACGTGAACTCGCTCGGTCGCCCGCAGGGCATGCCAGATGAGCAGCATCATAGCAGTTTTCAGATAGCAGGAACGGTCGCTGACAGGCTGCTTCTCCCGTGCCCCATTAGCCAGGTAATATACAGATCAAGCAAAATCATTTTGTTGTGCATTAAAATGTCTCATTCAGCAGCACCAAACACGCATTTTGCCGACTAGTCACCAGATAAACTAGTTGCCTCCTTGTAAGATGCTATTTTACTTTTTATATTGTATTGTATCCATATTTTTTATCTTAAGTGTATATATTAGTCTATTTTATTGCATGACGTATACCCACAGTTTTTAGATATTTTTATAATTTTATTTACCTATTCCATATTATATGTTTCATGTTGCACGATTGTACCATAAAAAGTTCCTAGTTTGTGAACTCCTTCACTAACAATGGCAATAAACCTGATTCTGATTCTGAAAGTTTTACGCTGTAGCCCAAGTCAATGACAGATAACGTGAGGACGACCACATAGGCTACAAATAATTTTGGTAGAGTTTGCAATTGCAAATCTACGGAAGAGGATTAGGGCCACTGAAAAAAAAAATAAGTTAACTGATTTTTAAATTTTATTTCAGTTTAGTATGGGAGAAAAGTCAGAATGCTGACTTTAATCTCAGAATTCTGACTTTTTTCTCATAATTCTGACTTTTTGCTGAGAATTCTGACTTTTTGCTCAGTATTCTGACTTAAATCTCAGAATTCTGACAATAAAAGGGTCAGAATTCTGACTTTTTTCCCATGTTAAACTGAAATAAAATTTAAAAATCAGTTAACTTTTTTTTTTCAGTGGCCCTAATCCTCTTCTGTACAAATCTATGTGATAAGACAAACATTTTCTGTTGTATAGGTTTTGTTAGGCAACATAAATTAACACATTTTGGTCTCTTTATTGTCTTAATTGTATATTGATTTAGTAATTGCAGCACAATGCCAAGAAAGGAGGGTTAATCATATTGAAAAATCTTAAAAGCTGTTCACATTTAATTTTTAAGTGGTTTGTACAAAATCAGCAGGTATTAAAATAGCTATTATTTTGTAGGCTACTATAAGTCATATCCACGTGACAAGACTTCCAGTCATGTTGCCCTAATAGCCCATTATTTAAACTAATGTGGCATATTTGTTAAAGCTATTATTATTATTATTATCATTATTATTATTATTATTATTATTGTCATGATGGTTATTATTATATTGTATTGTAGCCAGTCACAGCAGCGAAGCTCTACACCATCAACATCTACCAGGACAGGAGATGAGGAAGAGTTCAGGGAAGACACAGAGACAGAAAAAGACCAGGATGAGGGAGAGCAGATGGGTGAGGGAAAACAGGGAGATGAGCCAGATGAAAGTAGTACGCTTTAGTCTGTTCTGTTGGTGATGTGACTTTTTTCCATTGAAAACTCACGTTTAGAGAATGTTACAAATAAAAGTCAAATTTCATTCAACATGCGTTTATTTTTTTTTTATAATTAAGTGTTACACGTGCGCTAAAAAGTGCCCCCCCCCCCCCCCCTCCTGAGCACCTGCCCCCCAAAATGTCTGTGGACGCCTCTGGATGACATGATGTGAATTTGCGCTATAGAAATAAATTGAATTGAATTGAATTAAGTGTGAATGCCTATAAATTGTGAGCACTTTATTAAAAGGGTTTGGAGATATATTTTTCTTCTTCAAGCAGGGCAATAAAGACATGGATGGCCAAAGACACGGACAGGTAGAAACTAGGTGGTGACAGAGCACCTTTTTTCCTCTAAAAGGAGGATTGTTTGTTTGTTTGTTTGTTTGTTTCTTTCTTTCTTTCTTTCTTTCTTTCTGTCAAATATCTACCTGGCTACATGCAAAAACATAGATGATATTACCACATTTTCTGTTGGTTTGATTGTAAAGTTGGTAGGTGGTGGGCACACTGTAGTATAAAGAAGAAATCCACAGAAAATTGTTTCAGTGTATTTAGCAATAAGACCAATTCCATAGGTTTCTCAAGGATTTTCCATGTTGGTAAGTGCATATACTATTTTGGTGCACTCAACAAGTGCATTCTACTGTAATGATTTTATTGCTCTTGTTCCTGCTTCTAGATCATTTAAATTATAGATCAATTACTCAGGATTATATAAAACAAAAACAAAACAAAAAAACGATTGGTGGGACCTACTGGTAATTATGTTAGGGTATTCTGCTTTGTCCTGACATAAAATTATATAGTGTAGAGAATTTGTCTAGATAAAAGTAATTTTTTTTTTTAAATAAAAAGTAATTTGAACTTTATATGATCTGGATTCTGTAAATATGACTTTACCACATTATTTCCTGTTGTTTTCCCCCAAATGTATTTACATTAGTTGAAAAAAAAATGCTGTAATTTCTATTTAAATCCTATATTTGGTGAAACTATCTTTAATAATATATCTGCAACAGTAG